CGCCATGCCGGTGAGACTCGGGGGGGACGCGGGGTGGGGCTGCCGGGGCCATCTGTCACTGCACACCTCTGCCCGCCGCGCCCGAGGTTCGCAGACCCTGTCGCTTCCGTTCCCATGTGCGCGCAGGAGCTGCAGGGCGAGCGGTGCCTGTCAGGCCGAACGGGGCGGGGGTGAGGAGGGGCTGCGGGCGGCCCGAGGCCCCGCAGGAGCGGAGGATGGAGGTCCGGCCGCCCCGGAGGGTCTCGTCCCATATCTCGAGCGGTTCGTGGAGATACCCGAATCCTGCTCCTAATTTTGGCTGGCGCCTTGTGTGCCGTCCCTCCCCCACCCAGGTGGGGTTGAGCCGCTATTTGCGTTCAGCAGGATGGCAAAAGCCAGTGCTGAGGCTGAGAGGAATCGGGGTAGGTGGCAGCTGGAGCGAGAAGCGCTTGGAAACGGGGTTTGTTTCGGAATGACATCCAATGTAGCTGCTCTAGGAGTAGTTAAACGTTTAGCTGCAGCACCTCTAGCCCAGGGGAGTGTCTCAGGCTTAACTATATTCATTAGCCGTGCTTCAAGATTTGTTTTGGTAACTACATGAAAGAGAATGAATGTGAAGTTTTATAATACAACATTCAGGTTTTCTAAAGAATTAAACTTAAGCATGTACACTGATGGTTGTAATTAAAATGAATTCCCTTCAGCCAGCATTCCCTGGTATCTGGTTGTGTGTTCTGTGAGTTTTGAGAGTGTCTAGTCAGTGTTACTGAAAAAGAATGTCATAACTGCACCGAATTCCAGCAAACTTGCTGCAGACTGCAAGGTGAAATTGTTTCTCGAAAAAATTCTTAGATTATGTTGAATGTGAAATGCTCAAGGTTTACTCATTCAGTTTCTATGTTGGCAAACAGAAACAGATCCCATTGCCTAAATGACTGTGTTACTCTCTCAGCTTTAATTATAAGCCAGTCCTGATTTTAAGTCCCCAAGTTCACAGTCCTGTGGAGATGTAGCTGCCCAAGCTGATTCAACAATGTTTGTGCTTAAACACACAATAGTTGTATAGTGGGAGACAGCAGGCTAGATTGGATATTAGGAAGACTTTCTTCCCTGTGAGGGTGGTGAGACCATGGCATAGGCTGGCCAGAGCAGCTGTAGTTGTCTGGTTCCTGGAAGTGTTTAAGGCCAGGCTGTAGTAACCTGGTCTAGTGGAAGGTGTTTCTGCCTATGGCAGGGGGTGGAATTTGGTTTTTTTCACTCCAAAACTTTCTGTGCTTGTATGTTACAGCTTGTGTATTTTTTTTTTTTAATAATTATAGATTAACAAGCCTGAGAAGCTGGACAAGCCGGAAAGCTGCGACAATGTCAAGGTGGTTGTTCGCTGCCGGCCTCTCAATGACCGTGAGAAAGCTACGGGCTACAAAATGTCAGTGAATGTGGATGAGATGAGGGGAACTATAACTGTTCATAAAACAGACTCATCCAATGAGCCTCCTAAGACGTTCACATTTGACACAGTGTTTGGACCGGAGAGTAAACAGCTGGATGTCTATAATTTAACAGCAAGACCTATTATAGATTCTGTCTTAGAGGGATACAATGGTAAGTCCCTTGTAAGGGAAGGATCCCATCCTGTCTCCTATTCTTCGCTTTGTTATAGTTCCTGCTGATCTTGTTTTAGTGAGTTTCACCTTCTGAGGGCTGTAGCCCCAGATAATTTCTGTTGTAGCCTCTAACTGAAAATAGCCTGAAGGTACTTGCTGTTCTGAGTGCTGTGATTGTACTCACTACTGTCATTAACAGTGGGAGATGAAGAAGACTCCATTGAGGTCAGTTAGCTGCATGTTTTTATCCTTTATCTTCGTTTTGCAAGAGATATGCACTTATGTCGTTATGAGAATTCTCAGCAGCTCCTCACTGTACAATTTCAGTACCCAGGAGCTGCCACACCAGGCTGTCACTAGGTATGCATACCAGACTTCTGCACAGAGCTGCTGCATTTTTTCCTCTGGACTTTACTATTTTCAACTGAGATGACTACTTAAACATATCTTCCCTTCCCCACAGATAGTCTGTTGCTTCTTGTAGCTGGGAAGAGCATGGCCATGATTTGTGTGTGTGTGTGTTATGCATGGAAATTTAATATATAAAGGAAAGCTGATTACTGCTTTCCATAACAATATGCCACAAACAACAACAGTTTCCAAAAATTTTGTTTGTAAAATGCCTGATGATTTCTTGTGCTAACAGACACTGGTTTCAGCTGATTAAAATTAATGGTTTGAAAATTAATGATTTAAGGCTGTGCCTGGGGAGATTTAGGCTGGACACTAGGAAGCATTTCTTTACTGAGACACTGGAACAGGCTTTCTAGAGAGGTGATTGATGGCCCAAGTTGGAATTTTAAGAGACATTTGGACAATGCTCTTAATAACGTTCTTTAATTTTCAGTCACCACTGACTTGCTTGGGCAGTTGGATTAGATGATCATTGTAGGTCCCTTCCAGCTGAAATATTCTATTCAGTTTTTCCAATCTGTAATGTCAGTGGCTTGATAACAGAAACTTGAGTTTTCAGCAATGCTAGGCTAAATATAAGAACTGGGGTATTTTTGGAGTCCCAGAGTCTGGAATTTAAGTAATGTTTCTGGATGCCTTCTTGTACAGGCTGATTCTTTAGTCCAAATTGTAGGTGTATCTGCAGGTTTAGAGCTGGGGTTTCGCTGTGGCTCTGCTGTTGAAGCCTCACACCATTTCTGCTATGGTCTATTGATTAGGAGTAGTTAGGTTTGCTGTTGGTGTATACTTATGTGTTCCTAATTGGTCATGTTATTGACTGGGCTTGTCTGCACCGTTTGGAAGTGGAACTGACGTGTACTAGCAGTCCATGCTTTAGTTACTCTGCACTTTTAAAACCAGCTGACTTTTTATTAGACATTTTGCAGGCTGGATTAAGCAGCAGATATGTCCTGTTTGCTGTGTTTGCCCAGCATTTTTGTTGCTCCAGCCTTGTACTTCAGTAGCTACTGGAGTGGGTGGAAAATTTTAACTCCATAAAAATAGAGGTGTTTGGTGCTATCAGGCTAAGAAGGGATGAAGTAAAACTGCAGTTAGAGTTTAGAGAAGACTCACCTTCTTAGAGTTTGTTCTTTTATCTTATCCTTCAGGTACTATTTTTGCATATGGGCAGACTGGAACAGGCAAAACCTTCACCATGGAAGGGGTCCGAGCAGTTCCTGAGCTCAGAGGCATCATTCCAAATTCCTTTGCCCATATATTTGGTCATATTGCCAAGGCAGAGGGGGATACAAGGTAAATGCCTTCCCTTGACAGCTTTTTTTTTTTTTTTTTTTAATGTGAGTCCATGTATAGCAGGAGCCTGACCTTGGCAATGACAGCAGAAATAGTAATTCTCCCAAGATGAAAGGCTCCCACTTAGGCAGTTCTTGAGGGGCAGCAGGACTGTGTTGGTATTTCACTGTTTTCTTTGCAATCTATGACTGTGTTTGTGGGACTTTAACAAATGTTTTGCTAAGTGAACTACCCAGCTGTTCATCTGCAGGTTTTTAGTTCGTGTCTCTTATCTGGAAATTTACAATGAGGAAGTGCGGGACCTACTGGGAAAGGACCAAACACAGAGGTTAGAGGTGAGCCTCCTCTTCTGAATGTGGTGTTTGGTTTGAATCAGAGCAATATTCTGTTTTAAAAATCAGAGAAGCACTTGAGGGGAAGTGGGAAGTTTGGCTCCTCAGCAGTTTGCAATGCAATAGCTGGATGTCACTGCTGGCTTCTTTGAATCTCTTCCACTTAGTCAGTTGCACAAACTGGCTGTTCCACCTGAAGCAGTTTTGTACCTGCAGTTCTACCCCAAATGCCCCTCAGCAGTCCTGGGAATTGGAGACTGGGATTTACAATAATGTGTTTTCCTGAAAGGAAAACAGTAGCATATTGTCATTCATGAGTCTTTATTCCTTATCTGCTCAGATTCCAAGTGGAATGTTTTATGTGCAAGCCAGAAAATGGATGAGCAAACCATTATACTGTTAGAGTATCACTAGAATTGCTGCTGGGGATCTCCTAGGGATGCTCAGTTTGAACTGTTTCTCTCTTAGGTGAAAGAGAGACCTGATGTGGGAGTTTATATCAAAGACCTTTCAGCTTATGTTGTAAACAATGCAGATGATATGGACAGAATCATGACCCTGGGCCACAAGAACCGTACGTAGCCTTGCTGTGGGCAGGATTATAGCTCAGAGTTGAGGTCTGGTTGCCAGACCACATTAGGAGATCCTAGTCCTGTTGCTGGGAACAGTGTTTGGCTGAACAGAACAAAAAGGATATCTCTTTCCAAGCCCCTTTTGTGCAGGGGCAGGTAAAGAAGGCTGTGTTCCCACATCAGCCAGTACCAGTGGGGAATCAGCAAAGGGAGGATGCAGTGCTGTCAGAACTGCTTGTGTGTCTCTTGGTCTTTTTTCCGCTTCAGTTCTGATCAGGATGAACATCAGCCCTGTGCTGCAAGTGGGAGGTAGTTTGTGTTCTGGAGGACTTCTTAGTTAAGCTCAGATTATTTAATGACTTAAAGTTCTGACTCCTGCTGCCCTTGGCATGGATTGCTGTGCAACTGTTTTCAGGGGTCTGCTGTGAACACCTTAAGCTACTGATCCTTAAACGGACAAGGACAGTTGCTGGCCTTGGGAGTTTGTGGTTGGCTTAGAGCTATAGCAGGCTGCAGGACCTTTTACTAGTCCAGGCTGAAAGTGTACTTCAACTTCAGTGCCCAAGAATAGACTTTGCTGCTGAGTCTGAGCATCTTCTGCCATCTTCTGGAATATAGGGTTGGGTAAAGATGTGGGGATGAGTCTCCTCTGAGAGGAAGAGTTAGAGGAAGATGTGTTTATTTCTGAGGATATCACTGCTTTCTTCTCTACTAAAAGGTTCTGTTGGTGCCACAAACATGAACGAGCACAGCTCTCGCTCTCACGCCATCTTCACCATCACCATTGAGTGCAGTGAGAAGGGGGTCGATGGGAACATGCATGTGCGCATGGGCAAACTGCACCTCGTTGACCTTGCTGTAAGTAGTACCAGCCAGGTCTTTGGCAAGACATGTGGTTTGGGTTGTTGAGGTTTTTCCAGAGGGTTGTGACCATGTTGTTCATCACTTGCAGGTTCCTTCCCTGAGTGTCACATTTTGAACCAATGTAGTTGTGCTGGTAAAACATGGCTTTAGCTCAAGATTTACACTGAGGTACCTTTCCTTGGAGAAAATGCAGAAAAAGTGATACTGAAGATACTCAACTTATTTAAATGCATTTTAACTTATTTACATGATGTGTGTATAGGATGCTCTATGAAACTCTTTAAAATAATTGCAGTGTTGCTGTTTGCTCTTGTTCTGCTGATAGCAAGGGCTGTAGCTGGTAGTTGGCAGCTCCAGCTGGGGTGCCTTTTAACAGCTGACTTGACTTCCCCTAATGTTCTTGTTCATGGGGATGAAAATCTCCATTTTCCCAGCTGCATTGCTTTAAGCAATCCAGAAATTGCTGGCACCAAAAGCTTCTGTTTAAGCCCTGTTTGGTTTGTCTCTTTAACAATGTCTGAGATACTCAGCCAGGTTCTCTAATAATGGATGAAGTGGTTAGTGACATGGCTGCTAGCAAGAATTCATATGTAGCTGATTCTGTCTGGAGGGAGATGTGCTAGAGGATCTGTTTTAACTCTTGCTTCATGTTCCCTTTGTAGGGTTCTGAAAGACAGACAAAAACTGGAGCCACAGGGCAGAGACTGAAGGAAGCCACTAAGATCAACCTCTCTCTCTCCACACTGGGCAATGTTATCTCTGCACTGGTGGATGGCAAGAGCACCCACGTGCCCTACCGTAACTCCAAACTCACACGGCTGCTTCAGGACTCCCTGGGGGGCAACTCCAAAACCATGATGGTAAGCTAAGGGGCGCCCTTTCCAGTGCCAGCTACTGGGCTGCATTTTTGCAGGGATAGCATAGTGACTTGAACAGCCTGGCATTTACCTCACTAATCCTAAGCTGTTTGCAGCTTAGAGAACCTTCTGTGTGCAGCTCTATCTCTTTGCCTCTGTATAAATGAGGTTCTAAACACAGCACACATACGTACTGCATATGTACACATGTACATAAGTTTGTGAGATCAAACAGAACCTGTGCTTGGGTAGTTAAAAGTGGCTTCAGTGTACAAGCAGCAGGAAAGCTTGAGAAGGAGTAGCGGTATGAGTCTGTCAGAGCTGGGGTTGGGTTCCTGCAGTGCTTTGTGGTTAGCTCTGACATTGTCCTCCAATGTGTCACAGTGTGCAAACATCGGACCAGCAGACTACAACTATGATGAGACCATCAGCACTCTCAGGTATGCAAACAGAGCCAAGAACATAAAGAACAAGGCCAGGATTAATGAGGATCCCAAGGATGCTATGCTCCGCCAGTTCCAGAAAGAAATTGAAGAGCTTAAGAGAAAACTGGAAGAAGGTGAGAATCTCCTTCCCCCTTCTGTTCCTCTCTGCACAATGCTTGTTCTGTTGGAATGGGAACATTCTTTTCTATTTGAATATGTATCACATAAGATTGGCCGCTGGTGCAGATCAGTGTTCTGGTTTTGTTTGCCCTGCTGGATGGCAGAAGAGGTGTCTAAGGCTGCTCATGGGGGCCCGGCTTTCCCACTAGGTGGCACTTGACACTAGTGTGAATGGTGGCCTCTGGGCTGAGATCAGTGTGCCTGGGTTTCCCTAGCAAGCAGGGAGGCTCTGGACTCGACTGACATGGTATAAGGAATTAAACTGAACTGTAACAACAGGTCACTTCTCTGACTGGGGAGGAGGAATGTGTTTATCAGGAGGAAAATCAAACCAAATTTGTGGAGCTGGAACTGGATTTCTAAACACTGTAAAGCAACAAGAAGCTTTAAGCCATGTAACATTCTAGCCTTGTGTCTCTTATTAGTCTATCAAGGTGGAGTGACCCTGCTAGAGGGATGCTTGCTTAACAGTGACCAGATGTCACAACGTATCTCTCCAGAGATACAGCACAAAAGAGCTGTAGAGGTAACTCCAGCATGACTTGCTGTTTGTTGTCTGCCCCATTCAGGAAAAGCCGGAAATGGTCAGTAATGCTTCTTTTTTTTAATTGCATCTGAGATAGAAGTGTGAGATGAAAAAGACGGTGTGGTAGAATCCTGCTAAGAAAAGTTCGTAGCTTCAGCTGTGCAAATATACTATATTTTGCATAAAAAGCAGCCTTAATGCATATACACTGACATCACAGCATTCAGTTGCTTATCTTGATTGTCCTTAAGTTTCCTGAGCCATGGCAGGCTGTCTGCTCATTCAATGGTTAAGGACTTCTGCAGATACTCATAAGCTGATGTCACATACTTCCATTTGGACAAATGCTGCTGTCAGAGTAACAAGCTTATATGAGGTGAAGGAACACTTTTGATAAAAGCACACCCTTCTCTTCTAGGGGAAGAGATCTCTGGTTCTGAAACCAGCGATTCTGAAGAGGAGGATGAAGATGGGGAGATTGGAGAAGAGAAGCGGAAGAAACGGCGGGGTAAGGCAGTAGAGATTCCTGTCAGTGCCACCAGTCTCCTCTTACCCACAAGCTGGTGTAGGGAGTATAGTCAGAGCCAGGCAGGAACAAGAGGAGTTGTAGAACTGCCCTATGCCGCTGCAATTATCATGCATCTTCTAGAAACAAAGCCCTTTGGTGCTGTCTCTGTAGATGGACAGCTCCAAACCTATGTAGTACCTGCTTCCACTTGGGTAGCTGTGCTTGTCATGACATCATCCTTTGTGATGGCTCCCTGGGTGCCGCAAGGTGGCTGCGTATGGCTTGTGACTGGTGGTGTGGAACTTCCCCTGCTTACAGAGGTGGGAGGAAGAAAACACCAAAGATCATTTGTAGGCAAGTGTGGTTTTTATAGCCACGGGTATGATTGGAGGGGAATTTTGGCTGTGGTTTAGGCAAAGGATTCATCTATCTTATGGATCTTCATGACTTTTCTGGTGTCCTATTTTATATTGATAAATGGAAAACTTGACTTTTGGGTGTCTTTGTGCTAGTTGAAAAGCTTAATGGGAGCTGCACATAATTTTTTTGGGAGCAGTCTGAAAATACCATGGTGAAGTTTCCTTTGTCCCACATCAGTGTTAAGCTGCTGTGTATCATCTAAACTCCAGGGAACGTTGCTGAACCTGGAACTGCAGGTCAGTGTGTACTATGGGATGCTGTGGCTTCTTGGGAGCTTGCTGTTCTCCTAGAACCCTGCTGGTAATTCCTCGTGGATAGCAGAGAAATCAAGCCCTACATCCCAACTTCCAGCTTCTCTAGTAAACTTATTTTGACATTCAAACTGCCTTCCTGTCCTGAAGCACCCACATCTGTTGAAAAAAATTCCTGTTAAAGCATTCCTGTTTTTGGTGTACTCTCTTCATTTTGGTGTCTGTCCAAGTAGTCATAAATTATTTTTGCTGTGCCTTTGGTGATAGTTGTAACAAGTTCATTTTTCACCTTTTGGTTATTTCTAGAAGTGGAAAGTTTGACCACTGTCTCCAAATGTCCTGCCCAAATCTCCTCCCAAGGGGAAACCACCCTCAAAGTGCTGCTTGGAAGGAATAGAGGGTGAATAACTGACTAATTCAACTCCCAAACAAGCTACTCTAGTTAAGTTCCCTAAGGGAGCTGCTTCACAGGAGTACACACTGACTGTTGCTGCGTAAGCTGTTCCTGCCTTCCAGACTGAGAAGCGCACATTGCCATGTGCATAAGACTGAAAAGGATTCGTGGTCACTCCTCTGCTATGGCAGAGATCCACAGCCTTCTCCACTATGATCTGGTGTTTTCTGCTGTTGTTGCTTGAAATGGAAGCTGCCTTGGCATATGGTTTTAAGCTGTAGTCTGGTTAAGATCGGTTTTAACTGAAATGTCTTTCTGAGCATGCAGTTTGTGCTGGGAAATGGTGGCTTTGCATGCTGAGTCTGGGAGGGATCCTAGCAAATGCTTCCTAATGGGAACTTGTGCTTTTTTGAACTAGGGTTGCAGGCTCTTCTGGGTTTCTTTCGTTTAGAACTAACTTCCCATCTGCATGTTTCTTCCTCTCTGGGTTTTTCTGTGGGACGCATTCCTGTTTTCCAGGCAGTAGCAGCAGCAGTAGTTCAGACTCCACATGCTCTGTCATAGAGAAACCTCTGGATAAGTCCTTCACTAGTGAGTGGGAGCTCTTAAGTCCTTTAAGCTTTGGCCTTTCCATAATCTGCACACTCCATTTTGCAATGTTGCACTCTTCCCTGCTTTGTCTGTTGGAAAGATAAACCTCAAGCTGTAACTCTGCTAAAGCATGCCTTTCCTTTGCTGCTTCCATGTTTGAAACAGTTATTCAGTATTCACATTGTTAGCCAGATATGTGAGAGAATAGGAAACAATGTAGTAGGCTGCTTGAGCAAGATTTAAAAGTAATTGAGAAGTAATAGGTTAAAAAAATCGAGTTTACAGCTTGTGTTAAATGCACCTTTTAAAATACAGGGTCAAAAACTGAGCTGACTTTTTAATGGGAGTTGCTGCAATATGAGTTCATAAAATGACAGCTAGATATGTATTCTATATTATAGAATATATCTATATTCTGCCTTCTCAAAATTAGTTTTGGAGAACAGTCAAACAGCATGAGGCTTATACTAGCAAAGAAAATGTGGCAATGCTTTGTTGATTTGCTTTATTTTTGCAGATACTTTAAAAATGTCCTTGGTGGTTGTGGTTTGAGTGCCCCATGATACTGAATTCTTGATCCATGTGGGACTTAGTTCAGAGGAACAAGAGTTCCAGATTTTGATACAGTATGAGGAAAGTCTGGGCAGTTTCTGGTCAGAGACGTCACTGTGCCTGTAAAAATCCTGCAGTCAGTGAGGACTGAGGAAACAAATCACATCTTGGGACTCAGCTTGTGAGAACTTCACCTGGTGTTGTTTTTATCCTGTACAGAAGCACTCCACTCTTCTCCCTGTTTGGAGAGACCCTGGAAAGTTGCTGTGTAGTTTACTCACTTTTACACTAGTGATGTTAGTGGAAAGCCTCAGCTCAGAGAGAAGGGTGGTAGCAGGGTTAGAAGGAGCACAGCCCAGGGGAGACCTTTGGTGGGTCATATGACAGTAGCCTGGGAATTTGGTTGCTCCAATCCTGCTTCTTTAAAGCATGCTTGGAACCTGAGTGTTTTATTTGGATGAGGACAGTTAATAGCAAACTGCTGATGTGTCAGCAGGTGGATGAGTCCATCTCCTGCAGGTTTGGAGACAGTTCTGTTGGAGAAGTTGTGCTGGGCTTTTGGCAATTGGGATAAGTGTAGCTTTTTCTGGTTTGGGATATTAACTGTCCTCTAGTGTGACCCTTCTGCATGTGGTGTCTTTCATTATCCCTTTCCTGTCCTTCCTTTTTTGTTGCACTTGCTTGAATAACCAAAAGTGGCTTTATACCTCTATGGAAGCACCAGTTACTGCAAATTAACTTACTAATCCCCTGTGTAATTAAATGGAGAAATCTTGTGTTGAGACTCCTGTGTGCAACCCGTCTTGTATCTTGCAAAGAATTAGTTTGGAAATCTTGGTTAAAACTTAGAACATGTATTCTGGATGCTAATATTTTACAGGTAATATAACAGAATTGGCTCTGTTGAGTGTGGGGAACATTAAGTTTGTTAATTGAAGGAGAAATCCACCCTCCTTTATTACATCATGATCCTTGCAGCTGGCTCCTAATGTTGTGGTTAGATCCAGCATTGCATTGAATGGGCAGAAGAATGCAAAAGTGAACTGAAGATTATCCTGGATTTGCAAAGCATTCTGAAGTACAGACACATTCTCTGCTTTAGCATAACATGATGCATTAGTGTTTGCTCTAATAGAGGGGTTTTTAGTTATGATTATCTCATGTTCTTCTACCCTAGAAACACGAATATAAAAATTTTATGTTTGTTTTGGTGCTGATTACCTTTGTCCAAAATTATCAAAGCAATAACATTTTCTCTCCTCTTTTTATGTGTTTGCTGCCTCTCTGCGATTTGCTTTCTACTTCCTCTTAATGCAAGATCAAGCAGGTTGGTGTAATTGATTTTCACCTCCTTACAATTGCAAAGCTTGTGAAAGGATCTTACAACTTGCTTTACCTTTTTCTCCTAAACTAAAGAATACTCCTAAAGAATATATAAGGCTGTGTCCTAATATCTGGCTTACCTCATACAATGAGCTCTGTATAGCACTTCCAGAAAGCTTCTTACTCAGAGACTAATTAGTGAGAGATTTTTGCACCACAAGCCCAAAAAGAAGTGCTTCTTATCCGATTCTGAAGTTTAGCAGATGGCAATGAAGATGTTGCTTGCTGTAGTGGTGAAGTCCTTGCCTTGCAACAAAATTAATTAAAGCTCTTGTGCACATGAAGAAATACATATGCAGGTGTAAAAATATGTGCATGCGTGTTTACATATGCAGTAACGTATGTTACACATACTGTTACACAATACACTTTGCTGGAGTGTATATGTGTGTAATGCATATCTGATTATAAATAAAATACATGTATATGTATATAAATGAAGCTGAGTGTCTTGAAGGCTGGAGGGAGGAGAAGCCCTTTACTGAACAGCTTCCTTGAGCATGTTCTGACCATGTGCATTATTTCACTATGGAAAACAGTCAGGTGGCAGTCAGTGGCTCCTGTTAGTTTAAAGTATAGCTGGATTCTACAAGGTGGGGGTTTTTTGTCTGAAAAAGCAAAATAAGAAAATGATGGATTCACTTGTGAATAAATGGATATTTAGGACTTGTGGATTTGAGGAAATGCATTCCCATTCCACATAACCCTCCAGGATCTCTATGTTCGCCTGCCTTGGGCACTCCTGGGGTTGCAATGAAAGTTGGCTCAAGACTTGCAGAGTGGCTTTCAAGAGCAGCAGCCTCACACTTTGTTTCAAATTTGGAGTATTTGGGATCAAATCTTGAGGTCAGTAGATTCAGTCAGTTGCTCTGGCCGCTCTCTTTGTAGCCCTCCAAGACATGGACCTGGTGTGTTGCTGTGGTAGTTCTGTTGTCAAGACACAGCTGATTAAGTCAGAGCTAACCATGGTACATTTGAATCTGTGAGTAGTCACTGTTATGTGGACCAAACATCATCAAGAAGTTTCTTCAGTTGCCTGGTTTTCATAGGGCTGTTCTGAATTTCTTTATTTTCATAGTACTGTGTTCCTAAAAATATCTACATGCTCACTTTGGAACAGGTAAGCCTGTAAGGAGGGCAGTGAATGAGGGGAACGGTAGCGATGCTAGTTTGAAATTTGAGTATGTAACTCTCGGTAGCTGAGCTCTTGTAGCTGTAGGTCAAGGCAGTCTTGTGTTTTCCTTCCTCTGGCCTGATCTGCATTGTTAGAACATCAGAGTTTCCAGGTTTGGCTTCTCTTCAAGCAGTGTTCCTTCTTCAGGTGTTCTTTGTATGTTTTATATTCTATATTAGGTTCCAGTGATAGTTACACAGCTCTGTAGGAGCTGCTGACAACCTGCCAATGTTAAAATGGGATTTGAAGGACTGAGTTTCGCCCATTTTGAAGCTGATACCTAATAAAATTTTTGTTAAATGCAAGTATTGGATCTGAATTTGGAAAAAATGTTGTGATATGGAGGTTGTTTTACTTTTCAGTGAACTAATTTGTTTTCCCCCTGTCTTTCAAAGGCAAAAAGAAAGTTTCCCCTGATAAGATGGTAGAGATGCAAGCAAAGATTGAAGAGGAGAGAAAAGCTCTTGAAACTAAGCTTGATATGGAAGAAGAAGAAAGAAATAAAGCCAGAGCTGAACTGGAGAAGAGAGAAAAAGACTTGCTCAAAGCTCAGTGAGTACAATGCTTTGAGCAGTTTGTGTGGTCGTGTGGGTTGTTCCTTGCTTAATCATACAAATATCTGGAGATTCATGGTAAGGTGCCTGTCAGACTTTTTACAAAGTGGACATCATCCCTTGCTATTGTCAAAGTAAAAGACAATACTCTATCTGCTTTGAGAGCTTAGGGTATATGGGAAAGACTAATCTTTATCCTTTTGCCACTTCTTTTCCTAACTTTGCTTAGTTGTGCAACATAGCCTAGAAATATAAATTAATTTCCCAAGACCTGTGAGAAGCAGCAGCACTGTTCTGTAACAGGCCAGGTTTCCTGAAGCACAGTCACAAACATGTCATTTTGTGTGTAGAGGTGCTCTATTCTGAATCCAAAAAGCTGCCAAGATCTTACTACCCTATGCAAATAGACTGCTCCAGATGCAGCCAGCATTCCTGGTTTGTACTTCAGCTGCTCTGCCTTGATCTCTGTTCACCCCCCTCTATTTCACCAGTTGCTTCTGGGCATTGCTGTGCTGGCAGGGCCCTTTTGGGCCAAGGGTGCCTTGAGTAGCCTGGTGATGTCACTGGGTGCTTGCAGCCCCTCACAGAGGTGACTTTCAGTGGGAGGCACTTCTCTGCTGACCTGGTTTTACTTGAGAGAAAGTGGTGGGAGCTGGAGCTTGGGGAACTCTCTGCTTTCACTTGCACTGCCTCACTCCCACTTAAACCCTCGGCAGCAAGACAAGTTTTTCCAGCTCTGTGAGTGCTGTCTGGGCTAAACCAAGCTGGACCTGATGCCTGCTGAGCACAGTAGGATAGGAAGTCTCACACGTACCTATCTGTCTAGGCAAGAGCACCAGTCTCTGTTGGAGAAACTGTCTGCATTGGAGAAAAAGGTGATTGTGGGAGGAGTGGACTTGCTGGCAAAAGCAGAAGAGCAAGAGAAGCTTCTAGAGGAATCAAACATGGAACTGGAAGAACGAAGGAAGAGAGCGGAGCAGCTTCGCAAGGAGCTTGAGGAGAAGGAGGTGGGGTTATCTGCTGTGGCTGTCTGCAAGCAGCAGTGGCAGGATGTACCAGGTTATGTTACCCAGGTGTGGCTCTGCTCTGGAAGCACTGCAGAAGCCACCCCTCCACAGATCACTCATTGGCTGTGCAACCCCTGCAGGTCTGAGCCAGCCTGGCTCAGCCAGGGCTCTGTGCTCTTGGCAAATGCTTTCTTTGTTCAAGTAGTTTTTCCTCTTGTTCATACTGTTGCAGAGTTTCTGTGATTGTTAATGTGTGCCTGTCTGTGCTAAATGTCCACAGCAAGAACGCTTGGACATTGAGGAGAAGTACACCAACCTCCAGGAGGAAGCACAGGGAAAAACCAAAAAACTGAAGAAAGTTTGGACCATGCTTATGGCTGCAAAGTCAGAGGTTAGTATCAAAAATCCTCAGCCAGTGATCTTGGGAGGCACTAGAGCTGGGAAGGGTAAGCCATCAGCTTTTTAATGCTGGAAAATATGCCATATGTTTAGAAAGGTCTTTCTGTGCTGCCCATTTGGCTCACATAATTCAAAAACACTGAGTCTGGAGTTTAGAACAGCATGTTTTGTAGAGTTTTTCTCCAGGCCAGGCTGAGAAGGGTTATGTGTGAGACTGAGATATCGAGAGCTTCAAGGAAAACCACTGGTTATTTCTGAAATAAAATGCAAGTTGCTCTCTGGCAGACCTATGTCCTGCTTTGCTGCAGCCCAAAGGCTTCTCTACTCTGAACTGCCTGTCCTTTATGACTGGTGCCCTTACTACCTCACCCTCAGTCACTGGATCAATGTGTCGTTTGGCTGATAGCTGGAGTTCCTGTTTCATAAAAAATGCATTTGGTCTTGGGGATCAGAGATTTTCCTTGCCAGAGATACAACTTGTCTCATGATCTTCGTCTAGTCTTAGGTGAAGCAACTTGGATTGGCAGAAGGCCAGTTTTGGGATTATGAAACTGAGAACTTAATGCTGTTTTCAGCCATCTCTGAGCTGAAATGTTTCAGAGGGCTTATTGTTCAGAGATATTCTGGTACTAATAACTAGAGTTTGCTTTTGTTTTCCAAAAACTCATACAGACAAAGGACTGTTCTCTTCAGGCTACTACCATGTCTTAAGATAAGACTGATGCCTCTCAAATGTCTGGTTTGTTTTTAGATGGCAGATCTACAACAAGAGCATCAGAGAGAGATTGAAGGGTTGCTGGAAAACATTCGGCAGCTGAGCAGGGAGCTTCGCCTTCAGATTCTCATCATAGACAACTTCATTCCTCAGGACTATCAGGTGAAGGCAAAGCACCTGAGCCTGGGGCAGGGGTTGTGCTGTGCTCAGTTCTCTTGCAGCATATTTTCCTAAAAGCTTATAAAAATAAGAAAACTACATTTACCACATGGTTAACTGGTATATTCACTGTGTGCCCAAGCAGTGGGTCTGTTCAAAATCATCTTTTTTTCCACTACCTTGAAGTTGTCCTTGCTAATGTCTGATATTAACAAAAAGACTGGATTTTTAAATCTTTGACAGTTTTTGTAACTTTAGTATACAGAAACTTCACAATGAGCTTAAATATAATGCACACTATTTAATGGGAAAAGTAAGGGAAATAATTTTCATAGTTTTAATTTTTTCCATATTATTGTTTGCTTACTGCTGTCCTGATGGTGTTGGCATAATGGAACCCCATGCTTTAGAGGGCTCTCCAGTACATACAGTTTGGGAGTGATATTTTTCTCTTCTGTAGTCTTCAGAATATAAATGGGTTTTCTTTTGCACAGGATATGGCTGTCCTGATAGGAACAACTTGGAAGGGATCAAGCAGCTTGTCCAGAGCTTAGGATATATGTTCTGGAAAGTACACCTGGAGGTTAGAGCATGCAAGTCTAACACTCACTGTCCTGACTCCTTTGTAGGAAATGATTGAGAACTACGTTCACTGGAATGAAGACATAGGAGAATGGCAGCTGGTAAGAATGGCTGCCTGGCTTGTGTACAAGCTAATGTTAGTATGAGTTTCTGAGGGGTTATAATGAGCCCAGAAAGAAACTGGTGAAGCTGTAGTCAGTTTTACTGTGCACAGCAGACTTTACTAACAAACCTTTTTTTATGCTTACAGAAGTGTGTTGCATATACAGGAAACAATATGAGGAAACAGACGCCTGTCCTGGATAAAAAAGAGAAAGATGTGAGTGACTATTGAATTAATGTATTGAACTGTACAGGCCCCTGATACTGCCACTCTATTTAGAGCCAAACTGTCCAATTTTCTTTTCTTTTGAAGAAATGAGTCATTGTAGTGTGTCATGAAAGCACTATTGATCAGTGTATAAAATTATTCTGATGATTTTGTCTTATGGGTTTTCTGGTGTTTTTCTAGCCCTTTGAAGTGGACCTTTCCCATGTTTACTTAGCTTACACTGAAGAAAGCTTGAGGCAATCTCTGATGAAGCTGGAGAGGCCAAGGACTTCAAAAGGAAGATCCAGGCCCAAGACTGGTAGAAGGTGAAGAACTCTGGGCTATTTATATGCAATGAGGGATTTACCCAAGGGAAGGCTTAACTTTGTGTATGTAAACTTACTACAAGTCTTCAAACACTTGCTTAATTTGAAGGCAAAGGACAAAATTTTTGCATGGTGTAGTTCAGTGTTGCCAGGTATGACAGAACTAAGTTTAGATCTCTTTACTAGGCTAAATCTTGTCCAGAAAGACTTGTCTGGGGATTTTCTGATGTTCTTTTGCTGCACTGTCCTCTTCCAGCTCCTTGTTTTATTTTGCTGGATTCAGTGGTCTAGTTTAACACAGTCTGGCATGTTGCCAGTGTAAACACTGGTACCTAGAGAGAGCTGTTGGGGGAGATTTCAGCATATGCTTTCTTGTGCTTTTTGTTGGTTTTGTATATGGAGAAGTCATGTTATGTAGTTTTGATGTGATATGTGGCTGGTCCCTGTCTTTCCTAGACAGCATAATGATGTGTGTGTGGTGTTGTTTTTCCCTTTTCTTTCTGCTCTCCAAACAGAAAACGTTCAGCCAAGCCAGGAGCTGTTATTGATTCCCTGCTGCAGTAGTGTGACCTGGTCAGAATTCCTGTAAAAATCAGTGAGTGTATAAGGTTTGGCCAGAATATGGAATTCAAGAGATGGCACACTTGGACATGGCTATAATTTTTTATTTAAAAATGTATTTTTCTTAGTTGCCTGTATATTGTATGTTATATTAACATAATATTAAACTGGTATATATGATTGATGGATGTGAAATTTTGTGTATTAAATGTGTTATGAAGGGAAACTTGTTGGTAATCCTTGTTGAAATGTATAGAAAATAGGGTTCTAGATGTGTGTTTAAGTGCTTATGTGTTAGTTCAAAGTTAATGAAATCCTGAAATTAGGGCTGGTAAATCTGACTTATGCCCTGCTTTGCACATAACTGGCAGCTTTCACTGTTGTTCTCTGTTGCACTGATCTGTGTTTGAATGTAGTTGCTGCAAACCTTTAAGAGCATCAAATCTTTTTATTTAATATTCCTCACTGTGGCTGTTAACCCAATCGTGTTGTGTGTTGAATACACAGTCCTTTACCCCTTTTGCTGTACAGAGAAAATAGAAAAAAAGGTAGGAGAAACGTGAGCCACGAAAGTCGTGAGATTTCTGAAAAGGGACCATGCTCTTTTTAAGTGCAGCAGAAATCAAGGGTATCTAATGGTTCTTTTATCTTTATCAGTTTGTTGGTGATCTGGTGGCACTGTGGAGAATGAGACATTGGATATTAAGGCAAAAGAGCTTTTTTCCTTCTTTTAAGGCTATGTTACTTTGGAGGTTTTTTATGTTTCAGGGCTGGAATTTTTACGTGGGTAGTTTTGTAATCTGAGCAGCTGAGATGATTTAACGAGCATACTCTAACACCAGGACTTGGTGTTAGCCATGGGGCTGTGAGCACTATGATTCTATTTCCTCATCCCCAGCTACAAGGCACTGGGCCACTGCCCTGCACTGAGGATGAATTTGACTCTCCTTTAGTAAAACAAAATGAATTGCCCAATTTTCCCAGAACAATATCCCCTGACATGGCTGTACTGTCTGTGTTCCTGTATGTACTGTGTGCATCTCTGGCTATGCTCTGGTGAGAGGAGAACGTTTTTGGTCTCTGATAATTAATAACCATTTGTTTGGCTGCTCTTTTTATTTGATATTTATGCTGCTAATAGACACATATCACTTTAATATGTTCCCTTTGTGTCACAGAGAAAATCTCCTTCAGACTGCATGTCTTTCATAGCTCTTGACATCAGCTGTGGGTATCTCAGCAGCAGCTGTGCCAGGGTGAAGAGATGAGCTGTGATCTCATCTTAGTGTTACATGGAGAATTAAAAGCTGTGATTACTGACAGAAATGGAGTCCTTCAATGTGACAGAAAACAAGACAGCTCTTCAGGTGTCCTGAGTACTTGCTAGTAGACACATCTGCTTTTACCAGAATGTGCCTGTGAAGCACTTAAAGAAATTAAATGACCTTTCTTCCTGTTACAGTGGTTAATCTGGAGGTACCTTGGGGTCTCTAACAGGTCTGTGACAGGATCTGTAATAGTTAAAACTGGTCTTTAAAGATGTATTTTGCTCTGAAGGATCTGATCAGTGCTATTCTAAACAAGTTGTAAGCTTTTTCCTGGTGTTTTTAATGGGTTATTTTTTTCAGGATTGTGACCTGGAAGAACCTGCTGCCCTCTCTACTGGGGGGAGTGTCACTTAAATTCATACAATATACAAATACAAACACTGGTATTTGTTTTTTCTAGCCTAGCATTTACAGGTAAATTTTCAGGTATTTTTTGATTGAAGCAGTAGTTGGTTATGCCTGTGAAGAGCTGGCCTTATTTTAAATATGTTTGAATGGAGTTGGATTATCTCTTATTACATACTTCTTAGCAAAAAATCCAGACTGAAGATGGCTTAAATGCTGCTTAAAGTCTTTCATTTCTCAGTCCAAGCAGATAGATGCAGAGCTGTGGCCTGTATGAGTTCCCAAAACCAGGAATGACTTCTGCTTCCTTTTTGTGTTATATCTTGTGGTAACATTTATTGAATGATCTGGTTTAATGGGATTTAAACCAGAACCGTGCTTTCAAAAAGACTATTGAAAATCCTTTTACCTGACAGGTATCAGTCACTTCAAGATACTGCTGAGAGCTATGACACTCTGTTTAAAATACTTCAGTATTTAAAATACTTAATGTGTAAAGGCATATGATTTACAATTAACATAACAGTCCTGCTGCTGAAAACCTTAGTACTCTGCATGTTTAGTGAGCCTTGAAGCAGGGGAAAACAGTAATTGCTTGCACACCTTTAATTGGCAGATTAGAGAAACCAGTTATCTCCAGTGCAAAGGCTTGGAGGACAAATTATTTGCTCTGTAAGAGAACTTTAAATAATTTGGAGCACTGTCATGGCCATGTGCCCTATCAATTTGGCTCACCTGTTAAGTGGTGTGTTTTGTTGAAGTTCTTGGAAGTTTCTTGTAACTTCTTGTAACAAACCAGGGAGTTTGGCTTGTAGATTTACCACATGGGCCCTCTCTACAGCCCTGCCCATCTGTGAATGTCTAATGGACCCATAATGTGTTTTAATAAGGAAAGGATGTGATTTATGTGGACTTTTAAGAGCTTAATACAGCCTTTCTTGTTGCAGGACAGTATGTGCTCTCCAGTATTTATCAAAACTCATATTACATAACATACTCTGTGTGTGCTCATCTTTGCATCTTGCTAACACAAGATTCTCCTTATTCCAGCTCACTGACCTTAACAATGAGATTTTTGCTTAATGTTGTTTAAATGAATTATTTAATATTTAACTTGTTCCGTTAAGAGGAGGGGAAATGGTCCTTAGTGCCTTTCACTGATTACACTGTCTGCACATGTCCAGCTTTTACCTTTCTCTACAGTTCTGCTTAGCCAGGCTTGTATAGAAGGAAAAACTGCTAGGTTTTTTTATAGTTTTTTCATAATTTGTCTTTGTGTTTATTGGTTTTTCTGTTTATTTCTATTTCTTCTTTTATTAATGTAAATTCATTATATGATGTATTGATATGTATATATCAATATTGTGTCCCTGGAGCATACCATGAAATAAAATTCTTGATTCTTAATTCTATCCTGTGTGCATGTTTTCCAAATAACATATACACTATACATAGCATATATTTTTAACTCGGTTATGTCAGGAGCTGGTTGAGGAAGGATGGGTGAGATGCCTCTTTAGCTCTGAGCAGCACAGCATTCTGGAGGAGTTAGTGCAGGGAGTTTGGGGTGTGCTGGGGTACTGCTGCCAAGCCCCAGGGCAGTGGGCAGCAAGACCTTGCAGAAGAGGTGGACAGGGCAGAAGAAAAGAGGATTCTTTGCAAGACTACAGCGAAAACCAGTGGGATGAGGCTGCAGCTCTAGAGATGTGCCTGAGGAGCTGCTTGAGCCCCTGTTTAAACCCATCCTTTGCTGGGGTGGACCTGGGCTGAGCCTGGGCACTGCAAGAGCTGCTTCTGGGCCCCCTGCATGGTCAGTGTTGCCCATGCTCTGCCTCTTCTGATGTGTGCATTGCAGAGGGGGGCAGCAGATGGGGAGAAGGCTTTGCACACTGTCCCAGCTTTGTATCCTGTGTTACTCAAGCCAGCCACACCTTGTACTAGTGCAGATGGTGTGAATTTACCTGCAGTAGTTGGAAATGTTCAGCTCTGTTTCCTCTGCTGCTTGAGCCGTGTTGGTTGGCAGTGCCTGTGGTCCCTTAGCCTGTAGGTACCAGTTTTTCTGTGATCTGCAGCTCACCAGAGTCCTGTGGCTCAGCTGATGCATGAACCAAACCCTGCACAGTCCTGCCTCTTCGCTCCTGGGTCACAAAGGGCTGTGCCACATATAGAGATATATTATAATACAGGCTGTAAGTAATGAGAGAGCTTGCTTAGCTCCAGACCTGGCTTCTCCCTTTGCAGCTTGAGCATGCACTTTGGAGTTCCCAGCTTTCAGGAGCATGCCCGATTTGTGGCCTGGCTTCTCCCCTGTGCCTTCTCTTGGGCTTTTCTGCTTAGAAATGTTTTCCTCATGTTAGCATGAGCTGAATTCCATAGCAGGACAGATTGTTTGGCAATTCCTAGCCACACCACCCTTATTCCCATAAACTTGGAACTCCCTTAACTATTGCCTCGTGTAACATCCTATGCAGTACCAGCACGTTTAGTCTAAAAATACATTTATTTAAAGAATTATTATAAATAATACTTGAAAAATAGGATCATAGTTTAAAAACAAAAGGGGTGTCCTTTGACTTCTGACTCTTGTACTCTTCTTGGAGGACTTGGTGTAATTCCTTGAGGAAATTCTTCAGTGAGGTGGTGCTGTTTGCTGCCACAGGACATGGCTTCTGGAATGGGAAAAAGGGGCTATTAAAAAGCTTGCTGGGGCAGGGTTGGGTTCTGCAGCTTGGGTTGGGCTGCTAGCACTGGTGGGAGAGTAAAACACAAGTGGTGACCAAGAGAGAAGCTTGAGGGCTGTGGGCAGTGCAGGGAGAGCTGTGCCTCACCTTGTGCCCTGCTCTGCTCCCCCAGACTAGGCTGAGCAAGTTGTGGTAAATGCCCTCGAGGTACCTGTGGCAGCTCTGGCCCTCCCGAGCAATTGTGGCAGCTTTGCATAAGATCTCCATATTGTTATCTCTCTGGGAAAAGACACATGGCTTTTTAAAAAACTCTTTTGTATAGTCATGGCTTATTAGCAGCAGATTAAAACACTACAAATAATATATTTCTATTCTAAAGGATAGGTGAAAGTTGTGATTTGAGGTGCCAAAGCCTTCCTGAAGCTTTCCAGCTCCATCTGTGCACACCTGGCTCTGCTCCCATCCCTTTCCTGGTGAGGAGGAATCAACCCCTGGAAGAGGCTGTGGCAGTGTGGCACAACAGCAAGCACCTCTGTGCTGGAGCATCATGCTCCTGCTGCAGATGTGCGTGTGGGACCCTCTGAAGCTGCTCCCTGTGGCTTCCCTGCGAGTGAAGCTGGTTGGAGCAGGCAGATGTGCTACAGGAATAACAAAAGCACCTGGGAAGAGTTTGCTTTCATTAGAAGCTTTGAGAAGTCCTGTAGCAGAGACACATGGAAGATGAGGAGTTAATAAGTGCTGGTAGCAATTAAAAAACTATTGGACTTTTTTCCCTGGAGGATGTTCCCAGTGCTGCCTGCTCTGTCTCAGCTTGCACCTGAGCAGTATCTTCAAACAAGTGACTGGTCCATTCCTGTGAGCATGGGCAGCTGTGAGTGTGGGGCTGTGCAGTATCTCAGGCATCTCTTCTCACTAGCAGGCTGCTCCCTGTGGCAGAAGGGGTGTGAGGATCCCGTGAGGATGCTGAGCCCCAGCCCCTCAGGGAAGGCCACTCTACCCCTCAGATGCCGCCGGGTGTGGCACAAAGCGAGGGCATGGGCTTTCTGTGAAAACAGGAACTCCGGGGCTGGGGAGCTTGGCTTAGGCAGCAGTTTTCAGAGCAGAAGGAGGCCTTATCTGCTATTAAATCTTATGCTAGCTGCAGAGCCTTCCCCCAGATAAGGGGCTAAAGAGGGATACTGTGTCTACCCAGCGCTCAAGATGCTGTGCAATAGGTGTGTGTGGGTGTCTGAGCTGGTGACAGCATGCCAAGGCAAAGGGAGATGTTCCTCTCTGAAATGCTAAAACCTGTTTGCTGCCCAAGCACAGGTGCCCATCCCTGCCCATCCTCTGGCCTCTCCCTGTCTCCAGGGTGGCCAGAAGCCACCAATGGTGCCTTGGCTGGAGGCGGAGATGTGTGTGGGAAGGTGAGGGCAACCTGTGCAGGGCACCAGGAGTGGTGAAAACCAGCTGGGCAGCCCAATGCTTGTGCTGGGAGCTCACAGTGGGTTCCTGCTCCTCCACACCACACCAGGACAGGCAGGATCCTGGGCTTCCTACCTGCCTCCCACTGCCCTGTGCTCTCCTCTGACCCCAGCATCCTCCCAGTACCCATCAGGTCTATATGGTTGGGTTCTTACCTTATAATCTGCAAAAATATTTCTCACACTCATCTTGTTACAGGAAACCTTTACAAGATACAAAGGAGAGGACCAGTCAGGCTCCAGACAACATGGATCCATCCTGATGTGCACACACAGACACACATCTGTCCACCTGCCAGGCCCCAGGAGCAGTGTGAGCCCTGTGCTCATCACCTTCCTCTGGCTCAGCATCAGTCCCTCCAAGCCTGGTGAAACAGTCTGTCCTTCCCATCAGTGTGTAAAGCACCAACCACCCCTACCTCCATCTGCTGGAGCTGGTCCAGCAGCTTGATGCTTTCCTTCAGCATGTTGTTCCGCAGAGTGTGTGTCCATGCAGTGACCACATCACCCAGGCAGGCTGACAGCACCAGGAAAGGGAGCAGGACCTGGACCAGAATACTCATGGCCTGCTTTGGCTGGATCCCTTCAACTCAGTCTCTGGATTGTTCGGTGATCTGTAACTGTGTGCACGTTTCTGGAGGAAGCACCTCAATTTATTACTGTAAAATTGCTGAAGCAGAAGGAAAAACTTATTTTTCCCTTATAGGCACTTTCCAAAGTTACTCCCAATTAGGAGAGCAACAGCTCTTTTTTGTGCAAGTCAAAATTTTCTTCTGATCTTGCATTATGAAATTTCCACTGTAAGATGACAATGGCAGGAGTCATGTCACATACAGTATATAAGCTGCCTGGTTTGAGGATTCTCAATTTCTCCATATCTCGAGGCTTTCTCTACACTGTGAATTCCAAGTAGTTAAACTGGGTAGCACACTGCTCTGGCACACTCCAATAGAAACACTTTTAATTTTCCTTTGAGTATCCTGCGAGTTCTTCTATCGTGTTTCATTTTAACATCTCCAGATCATGTAAAGCAACCTTCATCTGCACACTGATTTCCATCCCTTATTTCCATAACCTGGGGAGGAACAGAAAGTATGGCAGAGCCTCCATGTGGGAACAAACCTGGGCAGAAACAGGGCACCAGCCTGGGGAGTTCGTGGAGAGCTGGGGACCCTCCTGACCAAACAGGATCCCCAGAGCTGTGTGGAGTCCTGCAGGGTTTGTGCAGGGAGATGGTGGAAAACTGGGGGGATGTGGCCCTATTCCAGCACTTCAGGGAGCTGGAGACTGCCGTGTCCATCCTGCCCTGCTTGGGGAACAACAGCCTGAGCTTTCAGACAATGGGTTCTGCCAGCCCCACCAACCGGTACTGCCACAGGAAACAGCACTTAGAAATGCTGAGCTGGGAAACTTTGGAGTTTTGTAATAACTAATAGGGATTTTTCAAACTCAAACAGCAACTTGCCACCAGATAACAACTTGTGAGCACTCGATGAATCTGGGAGTAGCCAGACTGATAGTAATTTTGTTTGTCTGGTTCCGAGATGGCCTGGATGAAGTTATGTGAAGTCATTGACACAGAAAGATCTTTGTGAGGGATTTGCCAGTGGAGAGCTGTGCTGTTTCCTGCCTCTGCATGCTCTGGCTGTGTGACTGCATCCATGGCCCCCAGGGATGGTGGGTCCTCACTGGCATGCCCAGAGCTGTCCCACCGCTCTGGGGTGAGTGGTGCTGGTAGTAGGATCCCTGCCTAAAAGTGATTCTGGAGAAGGGGATAGAGGAAGTAGCCCCATCCTGCAGACACAGGGATTCCCCAGTGATCATGGTGGGAAGCCCTAAAACTGCAATCAGTGAAGAGAACATGCTCAAATCACAGAAAAAGTTAACCTTTGCTCTACTCAGGCTGAATCATGGTAGAAAACTGCATCACTGTGTGATGAGAAAGTTACCAGTTATGTTAGATTTGCATGGCAAGGTTTTAATAGTGGGGAGCTGTTACAAGACTGGGTTCTGTGAGAAGCTGCTGGAGGATTTCTCAATGCCTGATGGAACCAACTCCAGTTGCTCCAAGAGGGACCTGCTGCTGCTGGTCAAGGCCCAGCCATTTGCAACAATGGGGAAAAACCTTGCACAACTGCAGCTGGAAGAGAGAGAAAATCAGGAGTGAAGTTAAGCTTGGGAGGAGGAGATGGGTGAGATTAAGGTGTTGTAAAATTTAGTTTTTATTTCTCATTATCCTACTCTCATTTGGGTAACAATAAAT